AGAGAGAGAGAGAGAGAGAGAGAGAGAGAGAGAGAGAGAGAGAGAGAGAGAGAGAGAGAGAGAGAGAGAGATTGTTTCAGGTCCAGGCCAGGTTAAGCGCCAGGTGGACCAGCTCATCAAGATCTGTAGGTGTAGGAACCTCGAGCCTGACGACGCACTCACAACAACTCGGGATGGGTAGGTCAAAGCAGGTGCCAGATGGTAGTGGGAAAGGTCCGTTTTCTGATCCAGGTCCTATTTTCTGATCAGTGGCGCCTTTGTTTTCAGATCCAGGTCGTATTTTCTTCTGATCCTGACCTCCGCCCTTGAAACCAGACTGAGAGTGGTAGGTGGCTGGCATACTGCAGAGCTTTCAAGTACACGGCAACCTGGGCTGAAGCACAACGCACCTTGTGGAATTCAAATAGTACACATTGTGGAGGTGGCTGAGGTGGGTAGAGGAGGGTGTGGGGAGGGTTTGGCACCCACTGTGCAAGTCCAATTGACTTCATTAGGCAGAGAATTTCATTAGCCCAACATTTGGGAGCATTTAGTAAGCTCAGCATTTGGGAGCGTTTGGTTAGCTCAACGTCTAGACGCAGTGAAAGCCGTCAGATTTCTGCCGATCCTGGCTGCCAGGTAAGCTGAGAGTCTTCTTCATCAGAGCAGCTGAACTGTGAAAATGACTCAGACGAAACTTTGGTAATGTAACAGGTGTCCAAATTCGTTGTTCATTCAAGTCAGCTGTCACTTTTGCCAGGTGACTGCTGGGACTTGACATGCAAAAAAAGCCAATGAGGGCTCATCCATCGTCGGCTATAGTGCTCACAGCCGTCTCCGATGACATCCTAACTTTGGGAATGTTACGGGCATCAAGTTGGTTGAGGAGTGGGTGCGCAGTCAGCGGTTGCGTCACTTCAATCTGGCATAGCCAGCATCTAACAAGAACGAATGCGGCAGTTGTTTTTAGTAGAGACATAGGAGAAGGGACAACTTTGGCAGCCATGTTGTTGAAAAAAGGGTGCAGAGAATGAAAACAAGGCATTCAAGACACTGCAGCCAGAGATGACCCGGAGCCTGTCGCCGGACTAACATGGGGAGCTCGCCAGCGGAGGAGCTGGGAAGACTGCAATGAGGCAGCGATTGCGTCTCTTCAACTTAGCATCGCCAGCATATCAACAATAACGACTGCAATAGTTGTTTTCAGCCGGAAATTAGGAGAAGGGACAAGTTTGGCATCCATGCTATTCGGAAAAAGGTGCAGAAAATTAAAACAAGGGATTCAAGACACTGCAGCCAGAGATAACCAGAGCCTCACGCCAGATTAAAACAGGGAGCTCATGACAGGAGGAGCAGGGGAAATGGCAATATGACGCTATGGGCCTCTGAGAAAAAAAATGCGCAGGATGCTATGGTTACCACTGTAGGAAGGGACATTATGAGATGGTGACTCGCAGACAAGAGCTCATTTTCTCACTCATTTTCCAAGATTAGTGCCAAAATAGGCGCTATGGGACGCTACGATGACTCTATGCGTGCAGACAAAAGCGACAGGGTGGTTAGTGCTTTGTGAGACAACTGGCAATAGCAAGGCTAGAAGTAGGGGCTTGCTTTGTTGACAGGTGGGGGGGTTAAGAATCTGGTCATACCGACCCTTAACGGTGATGGGTGCAAGCTATCCTTGTGTTGACTCAATTTCCCAGTGAAGTGGGAAACAACAGGATGATGGTCCCATAGTGGAGGGAGCCAATTTTCAGAGTTTTGAACAGGGTTGCATCCCTGACGACCGCCGACCCCGACCTCTGACCGTATTGCAGCCGACCAGTAGGGCCGACCAGTCCAGAAAAAAACAAAAACAAAAAAAAACCACCACTGTTTTTTTTTCAAATCTGAGTTGGGGGCTGTACTGCGCTTGCTGAGTACAGCCCAAATCCGCTGAGAAACTTTTGGGGATGGGGGGGTTGGGGTTGGAGTATAGGGCGGATAAACATCTTAAACCCATAATGATAGCTGTACACTAGAAACGAAGAGCGATATGTATGGTTGAGGGCCTTGAGACCTTATTTTAACTTTTGTGGCACTATATGTATCTGTATTTATATCTTTAGTTAGAATGGTGTTATGTTCCTGGCCAATTTCGAAGTACACATTCATGAGAAAGTACAATGCCGTCCAATTGCAAAAAGAAATGAATGAACTTGAGAGGAGAGAGAGGGAAAGAAAGAAGAAGAAGAAGATGGAAGAAAGAAGAAGAAGAAGATGTACACCAGCAAAGACCAATGAGAATTCCCTTGTTTTTCACCAACACTCTCCTCCTCCTCATCTCCTCCCCTCTTATTCAAACAAGAAATAATAGTAATAATAATGTTGAATGGTTGAACCAGAATCAATGTTCGAATCCCTCTTCTACTGCAGGTATCACATGAGGTCCACCATAGTCATGGTCACCCTTCTTCCTCCTCCTTCCACGACTGAGGCTATGGTGGACTACCAGGGCATCGCCCTGCTGTGCAATGAACAACACAAAGCAGCTATGGCTGCTCTACCTCAGGCTGCCATGCCTGACTCTGCCTCAAAGCTTCTTGGTGTAGCTCTACCCCAACTGGGGCCTTCCAGATGCAGCGCCTGCCAAGGTGATGAAGATGGCATCCACCATAGCCAGGTAAGTACCTTTGGCGCTCTCCCTCTTCCTCGTCCTTGTCCTCCTCTCTCGGTCCTTGCTCCTTTCCCAGCAGCGCTGCGCTGAGTGCTAGCGCTGCTCCAGCCGGCGCTCCAACCAGTGTGTCGCCAAACTTGCACACCGACAATGAGGGGGAGCACTTTGCTCCTCCTGGAGCTATAGCGGCTTGCTTGCCTGTTGGCGAGTGACTTCCTAGACCGTGCGACCTCCAAGCAACCGGTACCTCCTCCCTTTCGGAGGGAAACATCATGGCAGACTCTGATATTGCCCGTACAGGCCCTAGACTCAGACTGGTTGGACTGTGTACCCGCCTAGACCTAGCCTACAACTACTGGGCCTCGAAAAATGCCAACTTTTGTCTTCTTCTGCTCGGCCTCGAGTACCCGGCACATCTACCTCTACTTGGTGTGGTACTGGCCTACCTGCTACTTGAGTGTTTTCCGCTGCTCTAAGTGTCGCTGGCCTCTTTCCCCGCCACTTGAGTGTTTTCCCCGCTGCAACCCTCAATGTCACGGCCACAGGTAAGTACCGGCCCTTCGGGCTGTCTGAACGAACAAGTGCCCTTGCGGGTCACACACACACTCAAGCCGACCAGCACTCAGACAGGCATGCAGACCAGCAAGCATGCACACACACAGACTTAGAAAACTCAGCAACAGGCGGGAAACTCAGCAAGGCATACATTCCATGAGCAAAACTCAGAAATCAGCCGTGTGTCGCAGTCCGTGTTTGGCAGGTCATTACAATGGTTTCTTACAAACTGTTCCAATGGGCGCTTTATTAATTATATTTCTTATCCTTCAAGGCTTCATGTCTCCATATTAGATCTTGTGACAATGACCAGCTGGTACCTGAAAAAGATCGCGAGCACCAAGTTGCTCCTGCCAATGTTCCAGTTTTCTACGCTCCAGAAGTTCTAATGGCGGTTTTAATGACCTTGAGATGTGCTGCTAACTCTGTCGAGCACTCTGTCGAGGGTCCATAGGATGGCAGGTTGGGTCTGTAGAATGCCACTAGGGGGGGGGGGGGGGG